CACTAAGCACCGCGCTAAGGTGCAACTGCAGTTTAAATTTGAAGGTCTTAGGGCTTTGCTGGAAAAGGCATTCCGTGCCCAGCCAATGTAACTTTTGACGATAGCTTTGGTAGTTTCACGGGAAAATTCCTGTCATATTTCTCAAGTAATTTCGGCCCTAAGACAGAGCGGAAACACTTGTTACGACATTTCCAGCCAATTTGCGCTGCTAGGTGAAATGATGTGGATTTTGTGGTTTGAGAATGATTAGTGTTTGATTAAATCATGATCATTATTTCTCGCTTAGTATGACCGGAATGTAAAGATTAAAAAAATTCTAAATTTTATCACTTAATGAGATATTAATCCACATAATCTGATGTCGAATTGCTCAACTGAAAGAAACATCCGCTCGAATGCTGTCGTGAAGGACCCTCTTGAATTTTGCTGCGCAAAAGATCCCAATTTTTATTCCTGATTCAACGAGCAATCTTCAAGTCTTCTCCAAAGTTCTTGTGGCAAGAAAATTTAATTTCTTTCACTCGAACGGCTGCCATTAAAAAAGGATTTGTCATAGCGCAGTCCCTAATGAACGGACTCTGTTTTGCTCGAGCTTTTCTTTCAACCAAGTCCGGTAAGAGCGACAAATAAACAAGCGCTGATTCCATGTTGGATTCCGTGAATTTTAATTCTACTCAAAGAAGGAATTCTTGGAACTTGGCAGAAAGAAATTCTTTCGAAAATATCAATGTTATTCATGAACGCCTGAAGTAAGAGTGAGATACGAAACCATTTGACTAACATACTTCGCAAGTTAATTGGTATTGATTAGTAACGCTTCAGCTGTGATTAGTATTATCAGACACTGTCGAACACTGAATACATATAGTGAACGTTTATCACCCATACAATTATACACAATTTGAATTAACTGCATTTAAAAAGTAGCGATGGCGATGGTTTGATATATTTGTACTCAAATAATTTTCAAACTCTAGTGTTATTATGGCTTATGATCGATAAGGCCCAAGGAAATGTGGAACATTTAGTTCTAATTTAGGAAATTAACTACAGAAACTGAGAAGCCAATGAGAAAATATAAAAATATACCCTATAGTTGATAATAATTATTGTAGACCCGCCATTATTTCTAGAGATGTTAGTCGCTCGTCAGGAAATCGCTTGCTTATGCATTAAGGTTTGTTTACGGCCACCCTCAAGCCAGGCCAATTTACGCCCCTCTAATGGAGGGTTGCTCACTCTTCTTTGTTTGGCGAGATATAGGAAGTATTTTCTGATTCCTGGAGCGAGCATCTCATCTGACCAGGATTGATTGCCTTACGCTACTGCGGCCATATTTTCCTCCCAAACCTGGCATGTATTACGGCGAATTATGGACTTTAAGTCTAGTCGTGGCCATCAGGCTTAATGCTAACCAACTTAAGCACTGAGAATGATTAAATGGTGCTAGACCAGTCGTAAATTTCATGCTTAATTGCGAAAGGAGGTTGTCTAAGATAAGAAAGTTGCGATTATGGCAAGCGAAAGTATTCGGCCGAAAGGCATGAAATTGTAATCGGGCGACTAAAATACAAGCAGTTGATTTTCATTTGTGTGAATGGTAACATTTGTAGATAATTTTCAATGTAAGGAAAAGCCTGGACCATCAGATGGGACGCATTTCATCTGTTACACTCGAGTTGGTTGCATCATGGAATATAAATCTCATTCAATTTCGGCTGCTGCAAGCAAATTTTTGATCATTCAGTAACACATAACATAGCTACAGGCTCCGAAATACAACGTACAGAGCGCGCAAAAGAACACTCTTCGACGTTATAGTTGGGCACGTCTGTGATTAGCGTTTGATCAGAACCAGGTTGTAGCTGGTAGAACATCCCACAGCGTGGTTCTGCCTTTGTGCAAAATTTGGGCACGTCTCAAGGCCAATTTCCTTCATTTTGACTGAAGTTTAAGGTCGATTAGAATTCCGTTCGTGTCAGTTGAAGTCCAGACAAGGAAATAAACGGTAATTCTCTCGCCTTTGTTTTTTTTCTTCCGAGAGGCGGTTGCTGGCAAGCCGCAGGAATACGCGAGCGAGGTACAGTGTCGAAAACTTTCAGTGTTGGATGTAGTATGTTTCTATTACGCCAACGGTGTTCAAGTATATATTTACGCTTTGTTCGTTATAAGGTTTGAACGAATTTCGTAAAATCTGTTGAATCAAGCAAAATTGTGATCAATGCTATATTAATTATTTTTGATGACCCTAGGTTGAAGACGTGTTGAAGCCCACACTGATATACTTTCTATAGAAACGGACAAATCTGTGATCACGTGATTGAATGCAAACAACTACTGAGCACCAAATGATCGTCCTTAAAAAAATGTATCCAACAGATAAAAATTAGGAAGACCTAAGCCACTCCTGCTTATAGTTTCTACTACGAGATTTTACCACAAACATCAGCAATTGTTTTTAGATTGAATATGATCGATCGTGTGTACACGTTAGTATAAAATAATAAATACGTAGTATCAAATCTACATAACATCATAATGGGGTAGAGTCATTGTTTTACATATCTTCCAACTTTCCAAGTAACTGTTTACCTGCTGTAACACTCTGGTGTTGGTCTCACGTCGGTATCACCTAAACGCGTCTGCACCAACAGACGCCAGATGCAGGAGCTGCTGGGCCAGGGGCGCCAGGCAGAGTGGTGGAGACGCAGGTAAGCGCACCAATAAGGGAAGAGTCTGGCATTCTGCTGGCCAACATCGGGGGGCTCTTCCCACTGAGAGCGCGTCACAAGATTGGCGTGCTGCGTGAGATGGCCGACGAGGGTGGGATCTTTATGATTGCACTAACGGAGTCGCACCTAAGAAAAGATATTCTCGATGCAGAAATTACAATGGAAGGATTCCAACACTACCGCGCGGACCGGAAAGAAGGGAGAAAGAAGGGTGGAGTAATTGTCTACCTTAGGAACTCCCTTGCAAGAAGCACTGTAGAATTGAGATCGAAATCTGGAAACTCTGACGGCTTTGTTGACAGCATCTTGCATCAGCTGGCCCAAATGAGGGCAAATAGACGGAACACGTCCAACGTTACATCCGACGACGACTCGGAGACGGAGGACGACGAAGGCGGCGCATCAGCGTGACCTTGGACTAAGACGTCCTAAACTCATCATAAGGTCAGATCTGGGCCCATACTTTCGAAACTCGCTAAGTGAACGTATATATAAGTACTTACGCTCTATTTTCTTGTCTATGATTGGTGGATTTTGCTTGAAAAACCGTCAATCATTGGCTGATGAACTTACGATCTCTTATTTTTTTTTTGAAAGTATGGCCCAGGCTAATGAGGTAGTCTGGACCCACTCAACAACAGCGTTTCTTTACGCAAATGCCGCAGCCTGTGTCGCGCCAGTTGCTGTGTTTCCAAATGCTTGCCAATTAGCGACGCTCTCGACGAAAACTGAACTTAAAATTTGCGTTGCTCGTTAGCAATAGTCAGCAAACTGGATCTCTTGCCTACCTCACAAACGAATAAAGCGATAGCATTGATTAGTTTTTATTTAACAGACCAGATTCACAGTTGATTGAAGAGAATAGTCCATGATGCACCAGCCTGGGTTGCCGACTATTCATTTTCCAGCACTCAACTTGATAGTGGAAGTTTTTGCAGGGCATTTAGAAACATAAAATTTAATATATCAACTATAGGACATTGATATAGAATTTAATAATTAACCCATCCAACATTGCATACGACAAGAAATGCATACGGTACCTTAAAATGCATACGGTACTTTAAAACACATGCTAGGACTTAAGTAAATAGTCTATTTTTTACAGCATTTCGATACCACGTTTTACATTTTTGCATACATCTAGAGAATAAGATTATTAAGGAATATTAATGATTTAACTCGTAAAATATTCGCATTTGTTTAATAATTTTTCCGCGTTCATTTTTACCATTAGAACAGCAGCAACCTCGGACGGCACTATTTAAAAATGAATGATTCTTTTAGAAAGACAACGCAAAGTTCTCATATAGGCTCGGATTATTCTGTTAAGCAGACGCATTCGAGGCGGGTGATCTGTACTGTTATGTTTTACAGGAGAGTTCTTCGGCGTGCGTGACGTGTCAGGCGTTACATGAGGAGATCAATCAATTATTTTATTGCGATATATGATATAATAATGATAATTATTACGATAATTATAATATATTATGATATGACTATCAATTATTCTCTCATCATTGTCCGGTTTCACAAACTCGATAGGTTAATTTATATGAAAGTTAAAAACTATGATCGTTAAATAACTAATATAGTTATAAGCTTTTTATCAACAGGTTAGATGAATGAAATAAAGAATTATAAGCTATTGAAGTAGCCATAACTCTTGAAATAAAGCCATTTATATAGAGGTAATAGCTGTGGGATGTCAAAACATGTTTTTCTTCCGTTCTCATCCTATATCGTGTCTATTTATTTTTCGCTTGCTAGTGAACTTATGTGCAACGTGCCTTCGAAATTCGTTTGAACCAGACGCCACGATAACTGCTTCGTAAAATAATAATAATCATGATGACGAATATGAACCATTTTTATTGATCTCGGAAGAAAGCTTGATGTTTGATGGGCGTGGATACATATTTTAGAGACAGGGAATTCTAAAAGAATGTTTTAACAACAAACGTCCCATGTTTTTGGGGACTTTTGCATGGGACTTTTATACAGAATTTAGAGAAATTATTTCTATACATAACTTGTTTAGAATAATGAATTTGAAATTATTCCCTCAAATTAGCAGTTAATAAAAAATAAAAATGTCAGTGAATTTTAAAATAAATTTACAAACGGGGCAGCTGGGCTAAGTTTCTTTAATGCCAAATGCAGCGATAAAAGTCCCCCGTAATAAATTTTTTATTAAATGCTCATATGAGTACTGCGTAAGTTGAATTAACAAATTACAAAAAACTCAAGTGTTAATTTCCCCTGCAGACTTTACTAGAGGGCGGCCGAGTATCGCACATCTCAAGAAGTCTCAGTGAGGCGGCAGCGGCAGTCTACGGGGGCGCCAGAGGGCCCCAGGACGACCCGAGTGGGGCTTCTTCTTCATCATGTGGTCCCATGGCCCCAGGCCAGGGTCTGCAAGGAGGCCCTGATTACACCCAACTTTCTTTTCTGGATTCGCCCAGATCGACATCTTCAAACGGCTTTCCTACCAGGAGAAAAGGTCGGTCTGCTACGCCGTGTGTTTTTAGTCCGTATTTCTGATGTGACGCTCAAGATAACATTCATGTCACTGTACTTGAAGAATAGTTATTGTTTTCAAATGTTCAGTGAAATAAATCCAGTGATGGTGTATTCCTGCCTCCCTGAAGAAGCAGGAAAATATTCGGTTCGTTTAGTTCAAATTTAATTCTGAGGAACGAAACTTGAACTCATGCTGAACTTGACTTTTTTTCCCCTCAACTCGTGAAGAGAAGTAGAGAAGGAAAAATTTCCCCGGATTATTTTAGGTTAAATATAAACCAATGCATTTGATGTCCGACCTACGTATTATTCCGATTTGTTTGGCTTATTGAACGCAAAAATTTCATTTACAGGTCTCACTGTTGGTGTTCTTCAGCAAATTGACTTGATTAATTTTCAATGTTTTTTATTTTATTTTATTTGTTCAGTCCAAGCCATGGGCTGAACCCATAAATCAATAATTTTAAAATCAATAATTTCAACACATCCCTACAATAATACTCGATTGAACGAATCAAGACAAATCTATCTTCTTGCTTCATAAATTATTTTGCTTCCCAACTTATTGAATAATTTTTTTGCCAAGAGATAATGAAATTACCAAAATATATGATCAAATCCAGAATCAACGAAAATCAGAATGTCCTTCGATATTAAAAGTAAATGAAAAATTTTTTCCTCAGAGAATCAACAGAAAGATAATATTGATCTGCAAAGTTTTGTTAGTTTATATCATGTCTGAAGTCACTGAATCCAACTGATAGATGTGTACCGAGTTTCGAACAGCTCCCACTGCAATTACGGAAAACACGCTCGTCGGGATCTGAAACTTTTGCGAACTCAATTACCAGAGATTTCTAGCCTCAATTTGTAGTTCTCGAACTGCATACTGACTTTGCGAGGCCAGCCTCGAGCTGGCGGTAGACGCACGTCTCGAGGAATTACCGAATATTTTTACAGAGCTTCTCTATAGTTGGTCTTGCGAGCGATATTTTATCACCAGTGGGCATGTGGTTCCTCGCACCATTATATGATTGAAATTTGTTGAGGTATTTTCACGTCGTGTACTATGGTAAAATGGAGAAAAGTGTTCGTAATTTCGTTGAATTTGTTATATTTTAATTGGAAATCGCACGATATATTTAAACATTCTTCGATTTACGGACAATTTCTTCGCCGTTTAGCTTCATTTTCAAGGGTTCGCTGATTTTTTTTCTCAACATCTCTGAATTTTTTCCTCCTCCTCCTCCATCTACTTTTTTTAATTTTTCTCGTGAAAGCGTTGTATTGTTTTCAAGTCAAAGGTCCTGAAAATGATATTGTTGATGTAGTTAACATGTAACCACAGAGAAGGTTCCCGAAGCAGAGTTGTTGGTTTCTACTATCATAGAAATTAATGAGACGTTGTACAAACATCGATGGAATTTTCGCCCATTTATGGCTCATCAGCTTCCAATTTAGCCAGTATAGAACATATCAGCGACCGTGCTTAAAATTATTATATAGAAAATATGACCCAACAATTTTTTCTGGGTGTAGCACCACTAGCCTGCGGAATGCTCTTATGAAGAATCCATGCATAATTGAAATTTGAAATAGTAATTTTAATTGAAAAATTCCAACAATGCCTCAACTGAACAGTAAAACTATTCATTTATTTCAGCGAGAAATCTTCTTTATTTCAGGTGTTATTTAAATCAATAACTTGGGATACTTATGTACTAAATACTCAAGTTGCTGTTAAAATCAAATTTCTCATTGCACTTTTTGTGATTGTTTTTAACGGCCATCCCAAATTGAAGAACGTGGTCGAAACCCAAAAAAGATAAAATTTATCTCGTTGAAATGAAGCCAGCTGTCATATTCCTATGATTAATGGGGCCAAGTTAATTTCGTGAGTGGCTGTTCTTCAGAGCCTGACACTGCGCCTTATGCGAGTGTTACACTGGCTTGGTAACCGGTGATCGTTCACTTCGGTTTGGTAACCGGTGACCGATATATTCTCGGCTCGGTAACAAATGATCGTAACTTTTGGCTTGGTAAACGACAATCGTTACTCTCTGTATGTTAATCGATGATCGTTACTCTCGGTTTAGTAACCGATGAAAATTACTTTCGGTTGGGTACATGACGATCGTTACTCTTGGCTTGGTAACGACGATCATAGCTCGCGGCTCAGTAACCCATGATAGTTAGTCTCGGTTTGGTAATCGACTATCGTTTGCCTTAGTTGGGTAAGCGATTATGTGTCATAATTTTTCCCGGTTTGTTAACCGATGATTGTTACTCTAGCTTGACTACGAATGCAAATAAGTTGCACCTCAGATCGAGTGAAGATAAAGTTCCAGCTTTGCAAAATTTGAGACAGTCGGAATGACGGCATCTAAATAGCAGACGAAGAAAGAATTCTCACCGTTTCGAGCCTTGCAATTTTGACTGGAATTTTTTTATTCGAGTGAGGGGAGAAATGCAAATGAAGCGCAGCAGCTTTATCTGTTAGGAACAGCATCACCTTATCATACCGATAAAATTGAAACAAAGACATTCAGGAGAGAAAGGGCAGCTTTTTCTAGGAGAAAACTGAAAAATAATTTAATAAGAGGACATTCTTAACAGGAAGAATAACTTGCAAGGTTTTTCCAGATCCAATATCATTTATTTATCATCAAGTAACTATTACCCATAAAATCGCAAGGCATTTGGGAGATTCTTGCTTTCCAAAATCTCGTCGGTAAGGGGAAGATTTTGCTCGATGGATGAAATATTATGGTCTCACTGGGCGATCGCTGGGCATTGAATGATGAGGCGGCGGCAGCTTACTGACGGTCTTCTCGTAAGTTCGCCCTTGCGTGACTAATGCTAAAGCTCTAAGTCTGCTAAACTGTCCATCTAACACACTTTAAAAAGTAGTCAGTAAAGTACAGGGTCATTCGCGGAAACTTCCTGTTTTGTATTTCGCGCCAAGCAATCAGATGTTGTAGAAAAAGGGCGGGAGTATGTCATATGAAAGGCAGGGTCATGAAGTTTTTTGTCCCGTCTAGTCAGTAGCAATATGTATTGGACAAGTGAGCAGCGTGCGTTTGCTGTTACGGCGTACTTTTCTCATGAGTGACTCATCTCCTTGAGAGGAGACATTCTGTGGCCGGCCCGATCCCCCGCTTTGGCTTCGTGAGATTTTTTCTAGGGTTATCTCAAATCGGTGGTTTATAATGACTGTCCAATGGTCCTACCTTATTTGAAGAACATACGCTAAGCCATCGCCAACATACCCGTCAATATGCTTCAGTGAATTGAACGGAACATCAAAAATCAACGAACTGAATACATTGACAATGGGAACCGAAATTTTCCGGATGTCATCTTTAAAACAAAATTATTCAAAAATTCAGGTTATGTCTTTTTCAATTAAATTAATAATGGAATGATATCTTTAACAGTTTTTTTATTGAACTTTCAAATCAGGAAGTTGCAGTAATTCACCATGTAAGAAGTTTCATTTGACTGAAATCCCAGTGAAGCCTTGTCTCCAGTGTTTTTTTTTCAGTTTGAAACGAACGGCGGTATCATTCTCATAAAGATCATATAGAAGTTCTGTTAATACGTGAATATGCTTCATGTCTGTCTGTATAACTTCTCGATTACTTTCCAATCGAGATTTTTTCATTCTTTATTTAGAAATATTCAGTGGAACCCGAGACGCAAAACGTGTTTGAAAGAGTAGCGGTCAATTCGGTTGAAAAATTAGTAATATTAAATTTCACATTGCAACACCATCCAAAAACAAATTCTTTGGCTAAATTTGAAGTGATTCATCAATTTTGTACATCATGTTGGCTATAGTGAAACATTTTTTCGTAAATCCCGTCTCTTTTTGTCCAGCCAGGCTTTAGTTGAACCTAAACAAATTCTCCGAACACATGGGCTTTGTCTCAGAATTTTAGGAAAAAACTCTGGTTTTTCTTCTCCCCTGGGATGTTATGGTCATTAGAGCTCACTTGCGCAGTCTCCCTTTTTCAACACCTGGACCTTTTAGGAAGCATAGGCTTTTTTGACATCAGGAATTTTGTTTGTACATAAGGGCATCTCGTATCTACCTTAATAATTTTTTTGAGGCTTCTACTGGAGCCGCCGCGAAAAATATTAGAAAGTACGCGTCAAACAAAAGTTACTTGTTAAAATTACAGTGGAAGCAAATCAGTCGAGCGAATGCTTTTAAAATTTTTCTCTGTTCAAAGTAATACCTTTATTATTTTCTCACGATATACTTTCATTCAGAGCTCCACATCATCGAAGCATGCATGCACATATGACTTATTCAATTAAATAATTTTAACCTGTCAGCTTTATAATATTTAGGTCCAAGAGAACGTTAGATTTTCGACTTGATTTTTTCATTATCAAAAAGCTGGATCAAGTCCTAGAACTGTTTTACAAATTATTCCAGAAAATAAACGATAAACTGCAATTCTTTCAATTTGTGCATTCATGCAGCAAGACGATAACGAATGTATAGGTAAAATTTTATTGACGCTGCTATTACTTTCTTCATTTAATTTCAAAAATTGCATGTGTTCAGTTGAGTTCAGGACCTACACAACTAAAAGTAAATAAACGGGAATGAACGTTCTCATTGAGCAAATTGGGCTTTAATATTTTGAACGTGCAATTAAATTTGTAATATTTTCATGCTTAACTAAAGTGAAAGAAACCAGTTTCATTCGATAAAACTGCTAGTTGCATAGATTAAAACTATCGGTTTTATATGATAAAACTGTCAGTTTCATGGGACAAACTCGCCAGTTTCATTGGACAAAGCTGCCAGTTTCATTCGATAAAACTGCCAGTTGCATAGATTAAAACTATCAGTTTTATATGATAAAACTGTCAGTTTCATGGGACAAATCCGCGAGTTTCACATGATGGCAGAAATGTTTATAGTTCCTGGAGGCTTCGCGGCCATGTCCAATAGCTGGAGCTGAGCGCTGGGCCGATAAAAGCTCTTCTCTGTGGTAGCAGCTTTGTTTGCGTTCAGCCAACACTCGAGGTGGCTGTTCACGTCTCAAAACGACCCACGGCGCTTATATACATTATCGCACCACCGAGACCAAGCTACGTTTTCATCAGATATGTTTTCTTTTGCTACAATTTCAACGAATTATCGTACTTTTGCACCACCGAGACCCAGCTACGTTTCCATCAGATATGTTTTCTTTTGCTATGATTTCTATGAATTATCGTACTTTCGCACCACCGAGACCTAGCTACGTTTTCATCAGATATGTTTTCTTTTGCTACAATTTCAACGAATTATCGTACTTTCGCACCACCGAGACCAAGCTACGTTTTCATCAGATATGTTTTCTTTTGCTACAATTTCTATGAATTATCGTACGCACGCACCAGAAACCTTGCAAATATCAATGCAGAATTAATTTAGATTTTGGT